TCTGGTCATGAGTATGGGTTCTTACACAGGGAACCTGAAACCAAGGAAAATGAGCAGCGAGGATGTGAATGTCCACTAACTGGATTCCTCAAGAGCATCACAGCGGGAAAATCCTGGTATGCATCAGAGCCCCCAACATTGGATGCTCATATCCATCCCTAAACCCGCCCATGCCCATAGGTTTAGGGTGACATTATTTTTCATGGATGGTTATTATTTCTGGGTGGGTTTGGATGTGCATAGCTTCCAAATTGAGCCCTGGTCACGTCAATCAGAGCCCGACATTGGATGCTCATCCCCATGACCATATATGTTTTGGGTGATATTCATTTTCATGGGTGGTTATTTTTTCTTGGTGGGTTTGGATGGTCAGGGCTTCCAAATTGAGCCCTGGACAAGTCCGTATGTGATAGCAGGTATTCAAGAGAGAGATAAATAACGAGTGCAAATTAGATAGTAGGAGAAGCGAATACTTTTGTGCATCCCTACATCATGTTCCAGATCAAACTCAAACTTTTCGAATGCAATATGCTAAACTAGAAGTGCTCCGAGCTAAAACCTGTAGTCGTGAATGATATTTTGTTTGTATGATATAACTCAGACTTGGCGTATGAGGTTGATATACATTACACAATTTTTGAATACATGGACGTAATTTGAATATCATGGGTGGACATAGGTAGCTACTGATAGTTATAGTTAGTTGCAAATTTGAAGTAAATGATAGTTAGTACGTGACAATTTGAAATAAAATGTTAGCATCATATATTCTCAACCTAACACATATTAAGGCTCTATGTTAAAAGTATGTCCACATGCATGGTTATTTTAGGTGACTTTTACTTTGAGATTTCTACATTTACTAAATTGACGCTCACTCTGGCGCCTAAACTAACTGGAGACTGTATTTGGCTCAAAAATGGAGCATGAGAGATTTCAGCCATTCCGATGTGGTGATGATTGTTTATCATTTTGTTATAGAGGTTAAACTTTGTAACAAAGTGACACATATTGGTGCTAGGTTTTCACGTTATTATTGGAAGATGTTACTCATACGAGTAAAGCAGAGTTATAGATTGTGGAAAGTGAGCATGCAAAACTGAAATCTCCAAGGTAAATCAGAGTTATAAATGATGAAAATTGAACAAGGAGAATTGAGGAAATTAGTAGAATAATTTATGTATTTTTTCATATGTAAAATGATTGAAACAATAAAGATAAAATAAAGTAACACGAATAAGAATGGACAAGGTTGTATTGTGAGATAATGCGGACAAATCAATGTTAATAAATCAAGATTACAGAACCACCATTTCTATTTTTTCTTGCATTTCTCCTGGAGGAGATGTGAGGGAGCGTTGACATGACAAGCTAGCCAGTGCAAGGAAGGCTTGGGGCAACGAGGGGGAGTCAAGGCAGGGTATGTGGTGTGGTTCCACGACATGTTACGGCGAACATAGTGAAAGTCAAAGGTTGGGAGTTTTGCTAGAGTAAGAGCAATAAAGAATTAAATTCAATTTTTTTAATATTATATTTTTTAAAATCAAATAGTATCATGTCACTATTGCCAATAGTGACATCGTTAATATTGGATAGATTTACAAGTTAAAGCCTAATGGTTATTGATTTTTATGTCACTAATAAGAGTTGACAATATTTTGAGGTTCAAATATGTAACACTATAACCTCATAGCTAACCTAGTTCTTAATCCGGAATTTATAAAATTTAGTTAATCCGGAATTTATAAACTAAATTTTATATCGCCCACGAGACTCACCGCCGTGCATCATGATGGTTACTCTCTCTCTCTCCGTCGACTCCGAATCGTTCTCAAGTGCACTCAAGGCTGCTTTTAGCACAAAAGTCTGTGCATTAGCGACTGAATTAAGCTACTAATATAACCATGTTGGGGTATCCACGTCGGAGAAGTATCTGAGATACTATGAATGGAAGGAGAATGGTAGAACTGAAATTGGAAAGGGGAAGCGCCGGTCGGATTGGCGTTGCATCATGACACCGCATTCGTCTTCTTCTTCTCGTCGTTCGCCTCGTGGAATCTCGACATCTCCATCGCCTTCAGAGAAGCCAAAACAGCAGCAGTCGACGGTCATGCCCGCCCGCCCGCCCGCCCGCCGTTCGAGCAGATGTCGGCGAAAGGGAGAGGACCAAAAAGGAAAGCGATGGAGAGGGATGTCCAGCGAACGGAGGGGAGGGGTGGGGCATCAGCATGCACCATCACTCGAAGAGAGCAGAAGGTGAAGGTATGGCGGGAGGACGGACGTACAGGTCGGCGGGCGAAAAGCAGAAGCCCGAAATCTTGCGAATTGTCAGCAGCAGAAGGATCAGGAGCAGGAGCAGGAGCAGAGGCGAAGGGTGAATGCATCGCAGAGAGAGAGAGAGAGAGAGAGGGGGCGCTTTTGGTGTGCCGTGAGAGAGACGGGAGAGGGCAGGAGGGCATGCAGATGTCCCTGCGGCTGGGTGGCGGTGAATAGCGCGGCCCATGTGCGGGCTGACCAGTAGCGCGCAGCGTCGTCGTCGTCGTGGTCCGGCACTCGAGCGAGGGCTATGGCTGCAGGGCTCTAGACTACATGTTCCCCGTTAGGGATACTCGCGAGGCGGCTACGGGAACAGACCAGACCTAGAGCCAGCACCGGATTGCTCGTGCTGCCTCAGTCGGCCGCAAACCGGAAGCGGAAGGAAGCACATTTTGTCCGGCGTGCTCTGGCTCGATCGATCGATCGATGATGCCGAAATCATGTCTACGCGCGGTCGCGCGGGCAAAGAATGTCACTCTGGCACCGGAGGCCGGGTTTGGAATCTGCGATTGCGGCAGAAGGGTGGGCCAATGGGCGAGGGGGGGACGGGGCTTCGAGGAAATGGTTGGGCGGGGGTCAAAAGCTGATCATTTCATCGAATGGAGGAACATGTCCGAGGGACGATTCGGGCATCAGGGGGCAATTCCTGCTGCGTCTGACTTTTCCGTTCGAGAATCGAATGCGGGGTCGTACCTGGCTTCCGTTGGACACTCAACTTTGATGTCACGGTGGATGGTTATGTGCGTAACCCATCAATCTCGTCATTGTTGGAATCATTTTCGATGACGCAGAGCACATGGACGTTTTGCCACTCGCTTTTCTTTTCTTCCTCGAGCCGCAGGCCCGGAGAAGCACCTGCGCAATCTCGTAAATCAAGCTGAAAATGCCTTTTCTCTGCCGCGCGGCCATCACCTCGCTGTCTGTCTGACCACCTGAGCACCTGATCACCTTCGCTTTTGCCAGTGCTTCATGCGATCGGAGACTCGGCTTCTCTGGCAGCCTTTGGCGGACTTCTTGGCGGCCTTCAAAGCTGACCTGCAGATGTGAATGCCACCTTTCCGCGCATCGCCTCCTCCCTTCCTGAAGCATTTGCGCGACCTTGTGCCTCCCATCCACCACTCACGAGTCTCTTATTGTCCTTCAGACGAAATCTCCCCGAAAGTAGCCTCCGCATGTGCTCCACGGGAGCTTGAGCACAGCATGAGGTGAGCCGAGATGCAACACCATTTATCTGAAAAGACTGCTGGCCTGCGCGATCTGGGCTCGACGGACGATCGCAGCAGCAGGTAAATTCCGCTGAGGGTCCTACGATCCATATTCTCTCGCTCCCCAGGATACAGTATCTAGCAAGGCTAAAGAGGAATTTGTTACTGCCAAATGTACGACTCCCTGACTGCCTGACGGACTGAGGCCGAGGAGCGCGAGAGAAACCATCTGGCTATGTTCGTAGGAGAGAGACAAAGCGTGGTCACATTCCTCAACAAGGATATGCGGCTGCCGATTCTGGAGGGCGGATCCTCCGGCTCCGGGCGGGCGGGTGCTGCGAAATGCGCGAGTGGAGGGCGTCGTATGCTGTTTCTCGACATGGCTGCGTACGAGGAACTTGGAAGCACACCTGCGTCCGTCATGCCTTCGTGGGACATACACCGGCTCCAGATAGCAGTCGGGGCTAGTTGAGCATATGACAGGAGTGATCATTCGAGCAGCTGATCAGCGAGCAGTATTCCCGCCCAGTCAATCAACGCCCTGCGCTGCTACATGTCGTTCTTTATTAAAGGTGTAAAGGCGAATCGCGGTGTCGAGGGCCGAGCGCCTCCAGTTGTGACATCGCTCGCTCAAGTATTCGGTCGACGCTGACGAGCAAATTTTTAAGCTTTTCGCTCCCAACCCCGCCACGGCCACGCTCCGACCCACGTGCACAGGCCGCTCTGATGCACGAATATGTTTCTGCACGAGGCCGACGCCGACGCTACCAATCCGCTCGCCATTTGGCTCTCCGACCACTCTCGAGGACGCGCCCAATTCTGGCTCTGGCCAAGCGTCATTCCAAGCCCACTTTGTCGGTCGATCCTTTGTGGACTCGGGGTTTCTTCGGTCCCAAAGGCTTTCCCGGCTCGATAAGAATTCAACCGTCCACTCGACGAGCACTCAAGGCAATCGGACCGAGTACGTCATGTCGATCCAATTCGCGTCGATGCTCGAGACCAACTCTCTAGGCCAGATGCACGGAACGTAACGATCTTTCACTGTTGCATGCACTTGCCGAGCCAAAGATCTTCGATAGGCATTTTCACTTCGGTCGTTGCCCCTTTACTGCTACTGAAACATTACTTTGTCTCCCTTCTCTCTTCCATCCACGGTTGCCACACACCTCCAGTGTAGGACATGAAGCTTATATTACTGGGAGGTGTTCGATCATGAAATTAATCCGAATCTGGCATGTTTTCCGTAGCGTATCAAAGGGTGAATATATGGAAGTTAAGACTTTCTTAGCAAGGAGTCGTGGGATAACACCAGATGGTGAGCAGTTCGTCATCCAAGTGCAGACTAGATCGTGGATGAAAGTGAGTACTCGGTCCGCATGGCCCAACGAAGGTCTGCTGGCGGACATAACGGCGTATAGTTTAGTTTAAGGCATTTTGTTCCTCCACAAAGTTTCGGCACCAACGAGAGAGAAAGCACATAAAAAAAGTGCAACAAAATTGGTTCACAAATGCTGCTGAGTGCATATACAGAGGCCATTCAGGTGGGAAGCCTGACAACCACATTTTGTTAATTAGTGTAACAGATAGAACAAGGGACTGCAGACAAGACGTGGACCTGAAACATTCTCCGTATCTCGTCTTTGCCTGACTAGGGGCTGTAACAGTAGCCCCAGTTGCGAACCTTGTTTGGAAGCAGAGGGCCACTAACTCCATGAAACTTTTCTGGATATTTACTATTGCACAGTCCTAACACTGCGTCAGGAACAAGTTCTAAAACACAGTATCCAACTGCTCTGATGAGTTTGGACGACACCACGATATCTGCATATTTTATATCTATACAAACAGCATTGCCTTCTGCAGAATACACCGCTGATCAAGAATCTAGGCTGATATTGTACATGGGAGAAGTGACTGATATTGCAGAAAGTTGCTGACATGATATGAGGATCCGACCTTCAATAGGCAACTCGCCTTGGGAAAGATTTTCACACAACTATTTGTGAGACCCAAGATCTCAGCCCGCTCTAGTATGTAGCACCTCCAAAGGATAGGTAAGGAAAAATCCCTGATGCCTCTCTAGATCCATTCCCTGTAGCAAGACCAATGAAGGTTAGAAAGGCCGTTCTAATATATTAAAACGAGAATAGACAGATCAATAATCTTGGACGGTAGAAGTATGAGCCTTGACAAAAGGACAAACACTGTTAAACACTGGTAGAACTGTACTCACCTGAGAGGACTGTAAGTTACATAACTCTACTACTCCGCAGTAAGCAAGGCTTCACCACGAATGAACGCTGCCAGCTCAACAGGAGCAACAACGGAATTTAACCACTCCTGCAAGACTTCCCCCTCTACCTTCTCCTCCGCTTCAAATACAAACACAGACAACGGCGACAAAGGTGAGGTACACCATTCCATATTTAGAAATCGAACCAGATTGAACGAATTCAAGGGATCTGATCAAAACACATCGTCCCGCACAACACAGTTAGCAGGAAGTCAACCCATTTGGCGTATACAAGGTCCTTCTTCATGCTGGACAACTTCTTAACAATTCAGACGTTTAATGAAGGACGCAAGTGCGTTAACGCGGGAAAGAACTGCAGCAGGTAACTGAGGGCAACCGAGGCAAAAACCTTGGAGAAAGGCCAGGAATAAAGACAATACATACTGCAAGAGGCACAAAGACATTAAGATATGAAGGGTGACAACGATTAAGGTAAAATCACCTTTTCAAAACACCAACAATGTTGAAACAAAAAGCACATGGAAAGAAGAAAAAACATGGGAAGTACAAGATATAAGATATGTTTCAAAACCGATCGAAATGAGATGTGACGTGTTTTCAAATTTCTTTCCTTCGTTGCAAATTACCTTCAAGTTGTGCACCAAGGCCTTCCAGAACAGCAGGGTTCGATCGAATGACTAAAAGAGCCATTGCGAGGGCAGATTGGAGGAGTGACTTCACCTCTCGTTGCACCAGGTCAACCATATGCCCCTGTATATTCGGCGGCCAGCCAACTGATCAGCCGGACTTCTCTCGACATGTGGTGTAAAGTGACTAAATGATAACATAAAAATCACTGATGACTTCAGAATTGTCATGATCCGGTAAGAAGCAAGTATGCGACTTTCTCTTCAATAAGCGAAGTGCATATAATTCTCTATGTAGGACTCCTGGATAACTACCATTTAGAAAAACTCTTAACAGAGAAGTTTTGAAAAACTAGAGAAGCTTGGTAAGCCTGAAGATCCAACAAAAGGATATATGGATGCTTGATATTAATATGTTCTCCTTTGATCCAGTTGACTCTCACTTCTGATTGATTCAATTCCTTCAAACTATTCACAAAAAAGTTTGCATCTAGCCTCAGAACCATAGACATCACCTGACTTGAAGGTGCTGATAGTATTTGACTGGTAAGAAGACTATGTAAGATGAGATGAAGAGCGAGGTGGAAAGAGTGAGGAATGCTTGAGAGTGGATGAGTGAACGATCTGGAAGCTTCAAACGAAGCTGGCGTATAGAGAGAAATCAATCCCTTAAATATTTGTTTACCGATTAACATTTTACTATGTGTGTGAATGTTTCCGAGCGAGAAAAATTTCTAAGCAAAAAGAAAGACAAGATAATATCAAGTCAAACACTCCTCACAATATCCTCACGTGAGGTAAAAATCGAGTCACCTGATCTTTGCCCCACGGAAAAGCTGATCCCGAGTCATCTAGCCCTCCGCTGGAGAGAGTTGCAAGGGACATAGGCCCAATACTGGAGCTAAGACCGTACTCCGCAACTGCTTTATAGGCAACATCCGTAGCTCGTTTGATGTCATCCAAAGCACCTGTAGAAACACGCCCTGAATATACAACCTCTTCGGCGGCACGACCCCCCAGTAAAGTCACAAGCCTTCCTCGCAGTTCATCCACGAACAATAAATAGCGATCTTCACTGCCTGGTGGAATATACGTGAAGCCTAGTGTACCTCCAGTTCTCGGCAGTATACTCAACTTCTGCAAATTTGATAAAAAACTGTATATTTAAGAAACTGCAAAACCCCCAAAACTCACATGACCTTGAAGATTCTAATACACATTAAAAGATGGTAAGGATTCACGTAAAATGTTAGTTGAGTTATTACTCCAATATAGTCCATCACCATAAACGAGCGGTGAGACAAGTGCGGACATACTTCTATAAGAACCAGGTATCTTCAACTTCCGATAAGATAAGAATGGCCATGCCTAATGAGGTAATTATTCATCACTCTTACACTTGAGATCTCCGGTAACTCATTGTGCAATGTGAGATATCTTAGGATCTTAGATATCTTATCTACTCCATTCCAAGCTCTTTCGCAGGAAGATCATTTCTTTTGGTTTATTTTGTTTACTTTTCCTACTCATTGTCAGTCAAAAGCGATTAGAAAAACCAAGTAAACGACTACTCAACGTCACTCACAGTTCCAAGAATAATATTATCGTAGTTCACTCGAAAGAGTAAATGGAAGATTAAGCTGATGGCTATATTTAAAAAAAGACTTCTACAACAATCTTCGACAGAATCCTCATATTCATAACATTGAGCATTTTAGGACAACTATGATTAAGTTCAGATGATCCAACCGCTAAGGAAGCAGCAGAGAGGGTACCTCCACTCTAGTCTGTCCCGGGAGAAGGTTCGCCACTGCAGTACCGACAACGGCATGGCCAGCTTCATGTCGGGCCACAACACCTTTCTCACTACCATGCAACGTCGAACGTTTTTTCTCAATCCCCTGAAAGGTGCATGTAAATACAGAAAATGTTAGTGGTATTATTGTTCTTTGCAATATAAAGTGTAGTGCGAGTTCATACACCCCACTGCGATTCCAGTCAGATGTTTCCAAAGTTAGTCTCAACCTTTCGAGGAGATAACGAGGAAACAGAAACGAACTGGATTGTGGAGAGGATGCAGCCCTTAGGAAGTCTTCAAGGATTACTCATAGTCTTTTCTGGTAAGATTGACACAACAGGAACTATCCTCCTCCTCCCAGATCAGAAGGCACTTGACATCTCACATTAGATTCTTCTCATTTTGCTGCAGGTGCTAAAGTTCTTCGAGGATCGGTCACAAATTAACGCCAGACATTAAACTTACCGCAACTGCACGTTCTACCGCTCGTGAAAAGTCATCTTTGTCGACCACCGACTTGCTGGCCCTTCCTGCCAGCAATGCAGCCTCGTTGACGAGATTCGCAAGGTCCGCCCTACATCACAAACAAAGTAGATCAGAGCGTATATATAGGTGGAGTTATGTAGTTAAAATATGAAAGTGTAGGATACTTCAAGCTCTCGAGCACAAAGAGTGACAGACTTTCTTTATTCGACGCAAAAGGTCTATGGGTTATATTCTCGTTCTCGCACATGGAGGGTTAAAACTTCATGCATTAAACTCCGACCCCTTTCTGCTCATCAGCATTTCGAGACTGACTTCACTGCTACGGTAGTCCAATCAAATTTCGTGAACAAAATTTTTCGGATTACGCGAAGGGACATTTATGGGCTCTGGGACGACTGCCAAAAGTTTTCTCTACGTCCGACGTAAAAAATTGCTTTACCTCATATTTCATACAATCCTAACACTGTAATTTCTTCACCGTTTGAACACAAAAATATATTCCACGTACTGAATAATCTAACCTTCCAAAAATTACACATTTTGGTGTTCGGGCCAGTTTTAAAGCCCCCTAATGTAGGTATTTCGTTTATGCTACAATGCTCAATGAGTGACTCCGTTGAAGACCCAACCTGTTCAAGACTGAACCCGCCAATACATGTCGTGTAAGTCGGAAGGACGAAAGCTCAAGTCTGATATCCATTTCAAATAAGGGATCGTCTTTGCTAGTGTATTTAATTTCACCTCGTTAAGAGTGAGAAATTCCAATATGATCAAAGATTAAGACATACGTCCTTTTCAGAACTTGGGCTTCTATAGAAAGCATAGTACTTGCTTTTGCCCAGTGCCCGCATGTATTGATCACAATACTTTACAAGCTCGTAGCTCGTCAAGAGCTTCAGTGTGAATAACTAGCACCTTCCTTAACTTACTTAATCAGAGAGATCCAATTCTGTGAGTACCATCGAAAATTGTTCAGATCAAGATATAGAGCGAGTAGTTCTCATTTTTCACTATGATTAGATCAAACGAAAATCAAGCAAGGTGTCCAGGTGTTGACAAAGAGAGCAGAAAAAAAGAGGAAACGATCCTGAAAGTGAACAACCACTAACCCTGTAAAGCCAGATGTGGCAGCCGCGATAACATTGAGATTGACGTCGGATGATAATGGCAACTGTTTCTTCGACACATGAACTTGCAATATCTCCTCTCGACCTTGCCTATCGGGAGGTTCCACCTGGAAAAGTTGACAATCGCACGAGGTAAAGAGGAGTCCCCACACCTCCATAAGCTAACAAGGAAAACAACGTGCGTCGAACCCTGATAACAATGCATGATTATTATTAAATTCGCTTCGGTACGAATGAAGACACATCAAGCACCTACCATTACAATACGATCAAAGCGACCAGGACGGCGGAGTGCAGGATCTAAAACGTCAGCTCGATTGGTGGCGCCGAGAACAATCACAGTTGAGTTACTTTCGAATCCATCCATTTCCTGCCCAACCAAAAAAAGAAACAAACCTTCAGTACTGAGAATTACATAGGTTCCTTGCTGTCTAAATGGTCCGGTCCCATGTGCATTTCAGACAAATAAGAAAACATCTGAAATATCGTGGTTCAAATGCAACTGTCCAAACAATGTACAGATTCATTGGCCAAGCACTATATACTGACAGTGAGCAGCTGATTTAGCGTCTGCTCCCGCTCGTCATTCCCAACACTGCGGAGCCGCCCATCACGTCCCTTTGCAACAGCGTCAATCTGAGAATACTTTTTGCATCAGTAGCAGACTTGACGCATATCTCACACCACGATATACTTAACCACTAGTCCTAGAGAAGTCTGCGTGGAGGCTTAATAGTGTGACATAGTATCCTGCGAAGCTAACAGACAATCTTCATAAGCCACCAAAACTTGAGCGTCCTGTCACAACACACCTTACCTCATCAATGAAAACAATAGATGGAGCATCCTTCTTCGCTCTTGCAAACAAATCTCGGACCCGTGAGGCACCCATCCCCACATATAACTCAACAAATTCACTAGCTGAACAGCTTATAAAAGGAACGTCTGCTTCCCCAGCTACAGCTTTGGCAAGAAGCGTCTTCCCCGTTCCAGGAGGACCTACCTGCGGAATGAAAAGAGCATGAGTGACAATCAAACTCAGCATATGGTGACTCGAAGGGTCGATGATCAAACAATCCAGATCAAAACTAATACATCGTAAAATCTGAGGAAATAATAACGCAGAAGTGCTCCAGAAACGGAATGACATTAGAAGAAAAACATTGAAATCTTTGATGACTCTTCCCACTGATACTACAGAGAACGTCATGAAGTACGACCACGAGGAAAAATGGTATTCAAAACTTCAGAAAACTTAGGGACGGAGAAATATATGAACCCAATTTTTTTAAAAAAAATTTCTTTATACAGAAAGTTTATGTATGTAGAATATTTTTTTATGTAGAAAGTTTTTTTGCATCGCAATAGTCAAGACGAGATAAAGACATGCATATAGAATTGCGATAGGAGGCTGCAGAGAGCAAACCAATAAGACTCCCCTGGGAGGTCGAGCACCTAGTTTAGCGTATCTTTCGGGTGTGCGCAGAAACTCCTGTTTCCAGAGAAAAAGACTGCTTAGAAATCCGATACGTTTGATGTATTTACACACGAAATCGAATAAAGCATGACTTCGGTTGAAAAATATGAAGATCTTACGCTAGCATACACGAAAATCTTTGTACAGTAGGATAAATTTGCAAGAATCAGAATCTTTTTCGCCGAGATGTCCGGTGAACTTTTACAGAACTACAATACGTGATTGTCCACCTATTCCACAGTGGAGGTTTACTACAACTAAGTCAGATAGAAACACGTACTACAATTTCCTCGAGCTCTTCTTTCGCCTCGTCAACCCCTGCCACGTCCGCAAACATTATCGGACCTCCGTTATCACGATCTTTTCCCCCACTTGACGCAGAGCCCTTCCTGTTCCTTAGACGTCCAGTAGAACGCTGATAAAAGAAGGCAACAAAGTCAGAATTGAGATGAAGAAATATTTTCAAGTCTACCATTTACGCTTGAAAAGTGGTTCTTGTGATATACAGTATGACCACACTGGACAATGCAGACTTTTTATGATGTGAAAGTTGTCTTTCAAATGTACTACTACATTTGAAAGACAACAGGGTTGCTAGTACTTGTAAATACAGGGATGCCATTATATATCTGGAGAACAACCTAGAGCGTAATATAAAAGAAGCATCCATTTATAAACATCATCTCCGCTCATCTCAATATAACCGACAGTAGTCGTGAGATCCATCACTCACAACCCAAAATGTACCTGTGGAAATTTTATGGGAAAGCGCCCGACTAACCCTGCGATCAGGCCAACATATAAAAGAGCTATCTGCACACAACAAGCGAGTAACTGTCTTAAGCAAGCAGCATACCGGTAGAATAAAGTTGAGGCAAGTAAACTTTGTTCCTGGAAAAGGGTGACAAAATATTTCACAACAATATCGTAGAAATGACCGTATGAGCAGTGATGAAAATCTTTTAAATTAGTCTCCACGTATGCGCGGGAAATTCATATTGAGATTTAAGTCTTTGGAACCACGTGTTCAGATGAAATGGAAACTGCGGATATTCCGGTGCACAATAGGGATAATCGCAGGAAATCAGGTACATACCAATATCAAAATTGGTTTTCATTGAGGTCGATTTTTTCTTCTCATGTCAGTACTATCTTAGGGTCCCAATTTTCCACATGTAATCCACTCAAAAACCTCTCTCCGAGACTTCAGTGAGGTTATAAAAGATAATCTTATTGATTATATAATATTATATAATATTTCTATTCTCGCGCCACCCCCGTTACCCAACGCGTGCGTCTACAGCGCTAGAAAATACTTCCGACGCTTGCGGTTTTCAGTCTACTACCCTTTCTAAACTTCTCAAGTATATTCAAAGGTGTGTAAATTCACACCCACTCTACTGCCTGCCCGTGCTTTAAGACACGTCGGAAGTAATCTCTGGAGCAGTAGACGCGAGCGGTGTTTGACGTGAGTGAAGCGAGGTGTAAAGTAGATGGAACGTTGGTCGAAAAAGAGGGAATAGGAAGACGGACGGGTTATATAAGAAGGTAACGCAGGACAAACATTGATGATGTTCATTCATTGTTGACCTCTGGTGGAGATTGTTTGAAATATGGTGTAGCCGACAAAACCAAGGCCATTCCCATATATATGTTGTATTGTCCTGTCTGGATAATTATCAACTGTCTCGATACAAAACATTTGTCTTTCTGCGACATAATCTCTAGATATGGATTTGTCAGCCACACATGTTGGCCGAATGCGAACAATCACTACCATGTAAGTGAGGGAAAGAAGAGAATTTCCCCTATTAATATAGGCGGCAAGACGGAGAGGAAAATACGATATAAGTTAGACTAACTCCCCGTGAAGATCGTCAGCAACCTTGCAAGGTGCTTCTGCTCTTCCCGCTAAGAACAATCATACTGATCATTACCAGCGATCTCTTCAGCCGATCTTACCTTCTCTTTGATGTCACCACATGACAAAGCTGCTAACAGTGCTATGTATGTCATTTCATAGTCTTAAGCTGCATTCGAGAGGAAAGATGAAGATCGGAAAAGTAAAAGATGTATGAAGCACAAATTATGAACGCCATGATATCACAATTTGCTAACGACTTACAGAACATCATACATAACACAGCACCATCAACAATGTCACACACTGATGAGAGTTAAAAAGCAGATATTTCAGAACTAACCGAAAAAGAGTTGATCAGCCGCACTGAGCGCTTGTCAGGAGCACCAAAGTCGACTCCATTGTCCAACATTTGGGCGTATGGCGTTGTCATATCACTTGGCCTACAGCGATGCAGCAGTGTCATCTAAGTTTCTCTCTAGATTAACCTATACCTTTTATTGCAGAAAGTCAAACTATACCCCAAAGCAACGTAGAATGCAATCTAGATTGAGTAACAACTCACCTAGTCGTGGTAAACAAAATCCGTTTGGTAGGGGTGCTAGAACGGGCAATTTGGACTAATTCCGATTGCCCCAATTGGAAGCCATCATTCTCCTGCCTCTCAACGACCTTTACGACCACAACCACATCACAAGCACAGATAAGTTTAGCATGTGAATTTCGTGAATTGGCCGAGCGAACTACAGAGATAGTAATGAAGACCGATTCACTTGTTGAGCACATTTAGTTGCTTGTCCGTACTCCACTTTTACATTCGAACTTCTCAATTCTGTGTCCTAGGCTCCCAATCGAGCAAATTTGATGAGCTATTTTACTTTGATGACAGCTATTACCTGTTGCTCGACCGCAGCAACTGCCTGGGGACGCAATGAAAATGTCAGGTGAACACCATCGATCTCTACGTTCTTAACGTCGTTTCGTTGGACTCTCTGCAAAAACTCGCTAAACGAAACACTAACATATGTTGTGCCCACGTTAGCTTCTGTGGTTGCATTGTTCCCACCATGTCCGGGGAAAGGAAAGCCTGGCCGAAGCAAACGCATAAGAAGCACCACTACACTCAATTGCAGAAGCAGAGCCCCTACTTCATGAGCCTGCACTGCAGAACTTCCCTTCCGTACCCAACTCCAATTCCATCTAAAATTCAGCTTCTGCCACCAGCTCTGATGTGGCGGAACTACAGGTGCATTTCTATCAGAAGTGCTAGCCCCACTAGCTCCTTCAACTTGTGCGGAATTGCTCGGTCTCTTCTCATCCTTGCCCGATTCAGAACTTTGATTGGGAACAGGGCCCTTACTTTCAGAGCCCTTGCTGTCGTCTTCTGCGTTTGTTCTGCTGGCTGCGTTTATCCGCCAATTCTTGGAACTCAGAACACTGACATTTTCTAGAGAATCAAAACCTACGAGACTTTTATAATTTACAAAACCTGCACCTGCAAAAGATTTCCTAGAGCAAAATATTCTATCCAACCGGTCGGTACCCGGCCTTGCACAGATCCGACCCTGATCGCGTTTACTTCCTGAGCATACCCGGAGGAAGGACCTCAACTGAGCTAATTGCCGTCTGCTGTGATAAATGTGGCCAGAGAGGCCAGCTTCAGAGCTACGTGGGTACCGATGTTGAAGAATCGTGCACGCAGAACATGTACCCACTGCCATCCTCGATATAGATACCCGCAAATTCCTGCTGAATTCCGAACTCGGATGCTCCGAACTCCTGAGATCCGCGACCTTAACAAGATCAAACAAGATCGATCATGTCACGGTTGATGGCACAATGCCTGTCATGCTGCGGAAATCCAGATCGCCCCTCGTGGCCTCTTTCGACCCCGTTCGGATCTGTCCACAATGTACACCGTGCACTGAGATCCAAACCCTAAACCCCGTCAAGCCCCGTCCACGCGACCGACATGGAAAGCTAATACGCCTGCGATCGTCGACACCACCACCACCGACCGAGCGACCGAGCGACCGAGCGGACGCTCGTCCTGTCCGACCGAGCTCCCGGAGCCTGCGCTCTCAACACCACCACCACCACTCACTTGCGCACATCACACACATCCTACACCACCAAAAAGCCCTAATGCTCATCATCATCATTCCGACTCGCAACTTCCCATCGTTCGCTCTTCCATTGTCCGTGCTGCAACCCGATTGATTGCCCGTCTGTCTGTCTGTCTGTCAGCAGTCCTCGACGATTCCTCGTCCTCCTCCGATTCGGACAGCCACATGAAGCTCCCTTGCTCCCCTCGAGGCATTCGCCTCCTCCACCAACCACTTTCCGTGGATACGTCGGGGCCTCTGGCAGCCCCCAAGAAAAGATCGGCGCCGGCGCTTTCCGCATTCTTTGCGCCAATTCCTTTGCGGCCCTCCGTGAGCCAGTCAGCACATCCTGCGCAGTCCACCTGTCCATCCTTATCGACTGGCCACGGACGGACTAAACCCTCCGTCAACAGTCGACTCCATTCCACATCGGTCAGCACATCCCGCTCCAAAGGAGCGCAGTCGATTAGGCATGGTCCCGTAGCCGGCCCGTGAGCTAATCGGCTATCGGTCGAAAACGCAATTTGGTTGAAATATTCGATAGAAATAAGGATTTGGGTAATAATTTCGAATGAATCGAACGAAATAATCGGCTGAAAACTCAGAGTCGGTTCGAGTTTTCGATCGTTTTCGGCCTCGGATAGCGTTCCGGTGACCGGTAAGCCGGCTAGCCGTTAGCCGAGCCGTGAGCATCCCCACTGTTCATCCTTATAGACTGGCCACGGAGGGGTCGGAGCGGACGGACGGACTCAACTCTCCGTCAACAGTCGACTCCACTCCACATCGGTCAGCACATCACATCCCGCTCCAGAGGAGCGCAGTCGACCTGTCCATCCTTATCAACTGGCCACGGACGGGGTCGGAGCGGACGGACGGACTGACGGACGGACTAAACCCTCCGTCAACAGTCGACATCGGTGCGGGGCCTAACGGACGTGCTGACGTTCTTGTCTCGTCAGCTCACTGCAGGACCCGCCGCACTGTCACATTTTCCTCAAGTTCCAGGCCGTGCGGACGTGGCTATTCCTCATTCCGACCACGTGGACTATTTGCCACGACGACTTTCGCGCGTTCGATCCCTCCCGATGCGGCGCAGCCTTCTTTGAATTCTTCTGCCTCGGGAAGAAGAGCCGCGGCCGGCGAATAGACTCCGACTGTGTTTGGCGTGCCACGCTTGTAATGTTGCTTGCAACCGCGCAGTTCATTTCCAAGCCTCTATATAGTGCGGATTCTTCTTGTTTCTTATCTCAACAAAAAAAGATAATTTTCAAAACAAAATATGGAATATGCCTAGCTTGACATAAATCTAATTTTCCGAGAAATTCCAATAGTTTGAGGAAATCTATTCTTAATACCCTGCAAGCCGCTGATATGTACCGACGGTATACGGTCACCGTCATGACATACTTTGTCACCATCACGTTAAAAAGTCATATGTAGTCAAATAATACATATTGATAGTCGATATGAAACTTGTGTCGGCGCAATGCAATAGTGTGCGCAACAAGAGCGGGGTTCATATTCTTGGATCTTTGGTTAGTAAATTGACCCACAAGTGACATGCGATGCATAATGGCTATCAAAAAATAGACAAAATCAGTTCATTTTCCATAGAGCTAGCAGACAAGTTTACACACACATTGAACTCTCTCTCTTGCTTGGCTTGCGCTATTTCTTATTTCTCTGGTGTTTTCAGATGGTCATTTCACACACATTGAACTCTCTCTCGCTTGGCTTGCGCTATTTATTATTTCTCTGGTGTTTTCAGATGGTCATTTCACACACATTGAACTCTCTCTCGCTTGGCTTGCGCTATTTCTTATTTCTCTATGTGTTTTCATATGGTCATTTCACACACATTGAACTCTCTCTTGCTTGGCTTGCTCTATTTCTTATTTCTCTGGTGTTTTCAGATGGTCATTTCACACACATTGAACTCTCTCTCTCTCGCTTGGCCTTCTCTATTTCTTATTTCTCTGATGTTTTCACATGGTCATTTCATGGATTGAACGGATCTAAGTCTCAGATGTTTGATTTCTTTGAGATTTTGATATTAGATTTGGACTACCGTTTTCCACATACTCATTACGAGAATTGAATGAGTGTTTCTAAAGTTTAGTCAATATCCATCCCAGCTTCACATCATGAAACCACTACACGTCAAAGCTAGAAGTATATTCTTATGTATTTCCCATTTTTACTATACTAAGGATGTATGGCAATTCTACTTTTTCATCATGTTTTGTATTTTGCTTTAGTTTTTTAATTTTTGTAAAAAAAAATTCAAAAATTTATATAATATAACATCTTTGTACTTTTGTAGGATTTTTATCATATATCTAGTAAAAAAATAATTTAGAACTAATTTTATGAATTTTGTATTGTTCCCACCAGGGAACATCCACAGAGGAGACTGACGAAGAAACAAAAGGTAGTTGACGATAGGTGAAAAGGCTGAAGACCGGAGTCGCAGATGATGGAGACATAGGTGACACAAATCAAGATGTCAAAGATGCGGGCTAGGCCGAAGAAGAAAGCGAATCGCATGAGAGTTGTGTCCAACTCTTCGAAGAGTAGCGTGGCGAAGTCGAAGGCAGCTACCTCTACGAAGTACAAAGAGATGCTGGAGGAGCCGACTCTTCGGGCAGAAGAGGGAGGACCTTCAGGAGTACAAGCTGAAGTCCCGATGGAAGTAGCAGTGGAACATTTGGAGGAAAGGACGGAGACGGTAAGTCCAAGTCTACCACCTTTGGAGCGGATGCAGCCAATGGAGAATGAGGAGGTGCCTCAGCCGAAGACAAGTGAAGAGCTAGTGAAGGAGCTCACATTGAGTGAAGAGATACTAGAGGAGGTAGTTGCGCAGGTTGATGGGACTGTGGTAGATGATCATGAGATTCCATTGCCTCCACCACATGAGGAAGAGGTAAGACCCGAAGTGAAAAAGAAGGCTTCTGAGGAGGAACTGAAGGAGTAAGTTGTTTCCTTCCCCGACTTCCTGCAGGACAGTGTAGTACATTTACTGAAGTATTTGGATAGGAAGAGAAAGAAGTACGTTGTCACCAAGGAGGTAGGCTTCTATGTAGAGTTAGTGAGGAATAGAACTCAGATTAAGAGAGTAGTGGCAGTGAAGAGGGAATGGTCGTCCGCAACTGCAATGATAAAGGAAAGAGTTGCGAGCTTGTCTTTTGTGGAAAGCTAAGACTCCTCACACAAAATGAACTAGATTTTGCAATTCTTATTAGTTTACACTAGCTCTTTGCTAGGAAACGATGATAAAAAAAGAAACTGTAAGTAAAACTAGACTACTATGTTGGAGTAGGTGTGATAAAATTGTAATACCACTAAGTGGAAAGTTAGCTGGACACAAACCTGGTCTTCGGTTTTTTCTAAATTAATTCCAAACTAGAAGAATGTGTTAGGTAGATTAGATCCAAACCTTCTAAGTTTAGATCTAGGTATCCTAAAAGGCTTGGAGAGGGTTTTGTAAGGCTAGGCTGCTGGCAGCAGAAAGCGGTAATCACGCGGTTGTCGCCTACGAACTTCTTGGCAAAATGATATCTCGAGATTTTTGGTGGCGGCTAGAGTTTCAAAGACAGTCAAGCCGTCGCTATTAGGTTTAGACTTTTTAGTATTTAAATCCTCTTGGGAATTTTGTATGGGACACTTCTTTCGCTTCTTATGCGACCTGGTTCTGTTTAAGCAGCTCTTGTGTTTTATGCATATAACGTCAGGCTCGAGGTCTTTTTGGTTCTATGAGTGCTGCAAGGTCGGATCCGTAAGTTGGTGAAAGGAAGTTTTGGATCCGTTTCTAGAGAAAGATAGGTGATGAATGTGTTCTAGTGTGTAGTGGGAGGGTCTCCTCATTGTCGTGTTTACCTATATAACGTTTGTGTGGGATAGCCGCTGCTAATATTGGGTAGTATCCGGTGGGGTGCTCCGGGTAGGGGAACTCCGGATATATGCCAATTTGACCTTCTGATAAGGTCCCACAGTACATGGACGGAGTAATTCAGGAGATGGCACGGGGCTCTCACTTATCATATACTGTTCAACCCCCCCTTTGAGTCTAGATCTGAATGTCGATCTAGTCCTTGGTTGGAGTTTGTGGGGATCTTATGCGTGACCTGCTGATTTGGAGCTAACCGTCCGGAACAGTTGTGAGAAGGTAACCACACCTCTAGTTTTAGTTTTTTTTGGTTTTTATTTTCAAAGTGACTCTTCCGTCACTTTAATTGCTGGGAGGGTAGGAGCCATCCTTCCACAAGACCAACGGCAGCCTCTGATATAGAGGTAAAACTTCTATTTTGTCACTTGTTACATTTGTTGACCCTTGATATTTGAAAAGCTAATGGCATCTTACTTGGACGTCTAGCTTCGGTTTTCGGAATATCATTTATGGGGTTTCAATCTCAGATCATTTCTGTTGTACTTTTGGTTTGTTGTGCATAAATACCATGTCTGGAAACTCATTCTACTCCTCCTACTTCACAGAATTCCCGGAACAAACACGAGATTCTCAATTAGTAAGTTTTTTTTTGCCAGAAAACTTGCTAGTTGAATGCTTCGAACGATATCGTGTTCTGACATATTCAGAGTGCGCGACCATGAATAGGACGTTGCAAGAGCGAGAGGACCATCTTCGGACAAAAGATTTGGAATGTGAAGTCCTTCAACTGAATTTGGCTAAGGAGACGGATCTCTGTGCGTCAACAGAGCAGGATTGCGCGAGCCTTCGGATTAACATTGAGAATGCGCAGAAGTCAACACTAGATCTTCGGGATAGATTGGATTCATCTAAAGTGGTCTACATTGTGGATTCGCGTCGCGTGGATGAGATGATTGCGGATCTGGCGAAGCGCGATTAGTTGCATGCAGCGGAGTTGGCGAAGGAGAAGGAGTGTAGAGCCGAAGAGGAATAGAAGGTCAAAGATCTTCGGAGACAGATTGTCGCGCTGAAGAAAGAGTAGATGGAGCTAAGGTGCAGGATTGAGGAACGCACAAAAAAAATAGTTGGAAATGGGGAAGCTTCCGGTGTTTTATGGGAGGGAGAATGAGGATGTAGAAGCTTTTGTTATGGACTTCAAGAGAGCTTGCATAGGAAACAATGAGAGGAAGAAGAACGAATGGGCTATGCTTTTGCTGGATTTTTTGGAGTATTTTGTTCTCAAGTGGTACAAAGAGTACAAGAGGGAGCATTTGGAGGATGACACTTGATAGACATTGACGGAGAACCTGATAAAAAACTTTCTTCCCAATGAAAGTTATGAAAAGCTGACGTGTGAGATCACCTTCTTGAAATAAGTAGAGAATGAGAAGGTGATGACCTATATGGAGACAACTGAGAAGTTGGAGTCTAGATTCCACGTGG